AAAGAAGAGCAGAATAAGAAACACAACAGGAGAGGGAATATACCTGAGCCTGAACAAGGATAAAGACTTTTAAAGTGTCATACAGAAGAAACAACTGTCCCTGGACACCAGAAAGTTCCATAGAGCAGTCAAGTCTTTATGTCAGAGGTGTTTCCAGGCTTTGGCTAAGAGCTCTAATGCTGGCTTGTGTTAATGGCTAAGAAATTCCCCTACTTCCTAGGCCTACACAAGACCTATAAATGTCTGCTGCCAAGGAATGAGACATTCCAATATCCAAGTCTGCTTTGGAGCTGCAAGTCTAACCACAGAGGAAGGCTGAACATTTTCTATTTCATAGGCCCATACAAAAACTGAAGCACCTATAGGGCTAAGGGTCTCAATATCAGAGGCTTGCACAAGAGTTGCAATACTAGAGGGTGTCACTTCCTGCTCTTCATACTACTGTGGATAGTTTTAAATTTTATTTTTTTGTTTTATTCGTTTGTTTTGACAAAGGATGCCATGTAAGTTAGCTGAACCCCAAACTCACTATAGGACCTTAAACTCTTGATCCTCCTGCCTCCAGCTCCCAAGTACAAGGCTTAGAATTCTTTGCAATAAGGATGGAAAGATGGCTCAGAGTTTAAGAGCACTGGCTGCTCCTCCAGAGGTTCTGAGTTCAATTCCCAGCAACAAAATGTTACCTCACAGCCATCTATAACGAGATATGGTGCCTTCTTCTGCCCTGCAGGGATACATGCAGACAGAACTCTGTATATATAATAAATAATTCTTTTAAAAAAAGAAGTCTCTGTAACCATATACAATTTCTGTATGGCTGAGATGGAACCCAAATGATTCATATCACTGCCCCAATATTTTATGAATAATATTTGATGTTTTTGTCATTCATGTAGCTGTGGAAAATAAAGAGCCCCCAATCCCAATTGTAATTTAAGAAGAAGAGTGTAAAATGGAATGGGTCTTTACTTATTAGCTATCAAGGGTTATTTTAAAGCACCAGTAATCCGGCTTGTGGGAGACAATGAAGACTTGTAAAATATAATGGAATGGAAGTGAAAACATAGAAATAGATCTATAAGTAAAATTAATTTCATTTATAATAAAAAGAATTATAATTCTGAGATTTATACCATTAAAACAGTAGGCAAATTTCTCTGTCTGGATATCTTTCTTTTTTTTCTTTTTTTTTTTGCACTTTGCTCAGATACTTTACTTTCTTAGAATTTTAACTATAACTTCACTGATTCTTTTTTTTCTTTCATTTTTCTTCATTGAGAAAATTTCTACTCACTCCACATACTATCCACATCTGAGAGAGGGCTGATCTCCAAAATATACAAAGAACTCAAAAATCTAGACATTAAAATACTGAACAATCCAATTTAAAAATGGGCTACAGAGCTTAACAGAGAATTCTTAGCAGAAGAATCTCAAATGGCTGAAAGGCATTTAAGGAATTGCTCAACATCCTTAGTCATCAGGAAAATGCAAATCAAAACAACTCTGAGATACCATCTTACACCTGTCAGAAAGGCTGAGATCAAAAACACTGAAGACAGCTTATGTTGGAGTGGATGTCTTTCTATATTATGTGAATATGTGTTACTCTGTTTGGTTGATAAATAAAGCCATTTGTCCTATGTCAAGGCTGCTTAGATGCAGGCAGGAAATCCAAACAGATAGGAGAGAAAGGAGAGTGGAGGACATGTTGCCAGCTACCACCATGAGAAGTAAGATACAAAAATAACAGTATGCCATGAGCCATGTGGCAAAATATAGATTTATAGAAATGGGTTAATTTAAGATATAAGACCTAGCTAGCAAGAAG